CACAGGCTTGGGCACCAAGGAAGGCAGGCGCTCCCAGAGCCGGGTGCAGGTGCCTCTGCTCTTCAGGCTCACAGGTGCAAGTGAAGCATGTGAACAGCAGGCTCCCTCCCAGGGGCACCTTGCTGCCCTGGTCAGGTATTTTTCACAGCAGCAAACAGTTGACTAACACATCAGTAGACTTGTGCCCAGCATGGATTACAATTACTGAGGGACTTAGCAGAACGAGACAGAAACGGCACATGGAGTAGACAAACGCCTAAGGTCCCAGGCCTAGACTCAGAGGGACCAGCCCTGAGGACAGCATTGCAAAGCTCCATCCTGCACGGTGCCCCATGCTGAAAACTGCCCTCCAGTAATCAAGCACTCAGCACAGGCCAGGAGCACATGTTGGTCCCACACAGAGCAAAGCGTGGCTCTGCACAAACAGCAGGGCACAGGCCCTCCCCGGGGGCACGTCTCAGCTCTCTGCACACCCCGGCAGTCCTCTGCTTCCTTCTACTTGGCCACTGGAAGCAGGATGCCTACTGTGCCAGAAAAGCAAGCAGGAGAAAATAATACGATTGCTTTCTTTTATTTTCTTCCTTTCATTTCCATTGACATTTTTGTCAGCTACCATTTCACCAAGCAGAAGTAGGAGAAGATGTCAGGCTGTGCCTGTCTTAAATTCACAGGCAGTTCTGTTCTCCCGGGCCCTAACATTTGTGGAATTTGTGAGTCCATGGCTGAGGTCTCCCCAGTGCGGTTTTCTGAGAAATGTCCTGTGCTGACCCCAAGGATGAAAAGCGACACGCAGACCCGGGCTCAGGGCACTCCCTTCCTGAGAGCCCGCTGCTCTTCTGTCAGTCTGAAGGTCAGGCGGGGCTGCAGGCACGGAGGAAGGCAAAGCAGGGGGATGTGGAGGATCTGAGACACAACAGCCCTGCAACCAGCCAACGGTGCAGGGGCTTTGCTAATGGAAGCCACACTTCTGCTGCTGGTTACCCTGCGTTCGTTACTGTGATGAAATACCCAGGGCAGCTCATTACAAACGAAAATGTTTACTTGGCTCCCAGTTTGGGAGGTCGGAAGTGAAGAAGCACGGTGCAGGATCACATGTTTACCTCTGTGTCTGAACTCCGCGCCTCTCCTCAATCACGGAGGCTCCACCTGCACGACCCAACCCGATCTAAGCCTGATCGTTTCCAAAGGCCCCACCTGTAAACATTACAGCTGGATGAAGCATCCGCCCTCAGTACCACTAACATGCTGCTCTGAGAGGAAACTCCTACACGAGCTCAAGGGAACGGGAAACCTGGGCAACGGCTGTATTCAAGCTACAGCGCTGGGGAGCCTTCCAGACTACTCAGAGTCCCGTGAAATAATGTGTACAATTCCGTGTGTGTGTGTGTGTGTGTGTGTGTGTGTGGAAGCAGGTCCGTAACTTGCATCAAACTGTATGACTGTTCCCTCACTCCTCACTCTCCCCAGTAAGGCAAGGTTTTAAGGCATGGATACATAAGCAAGAAATCAACAAATCCAGAACTCGTGGTGGCAAAACACGAACACTGTTAACTGTTAGGAGGGTTAGAGAAATAGGAAGACTAACCAGCAGAGTTTTGTTCTTCTTTAAGTACCTGTTTGCACCACACATTGACTGCACTCATTGTCCGGAGCTGGTACACGCGCACAGCACATTCTAATTCTTTCTATGCCCCATTCCCCCTCCCCATAGTTTTGAACTTTTTAATCTTAATCTCTAATCTTTTTATTTGTATCCGTCCCTGTTTGTAGTACATGATGATTGCATTCATTGTGCCTCCTTCAGAGTTTTGTTCTTGTTAAAGCAAAATAAGGAAAGATATTAGAGGAAGGAAGAAAATGATGTCAAATATGAAGTCAGGTCAGGAGAATTGTCTGGCCAGTTGGAATGGGTGGCCATTTGGAAAGCATTTCAAGGGAACTACATACTGGACACGGACAGCAGGGTGCAGGGTGAGGCAGGCAGGCGTTCAGGAAGGGGGCAGCGGCACAGACCACAGACTCCTCACTCCAGGAGGACGCAAGGTTCCCTCAGGCTAACACACTGCTGACGTGACTAGGAGGACAAGTGGAGAAGTTCAGCTGTGGTTTATTTTTAAAACTCATTGGATTTCTATGGATGCAAAGTCTAAAGGAACTAAAGTTTGAAGAAGGTTGAAACCTTGCTAGTGACAGAGCCCAGGGGCCACTCTCTTCACTGGGACACCTGCGAAGTCTAGAAATGAGCAGGTAGCGACTCTTGCTGACATGCAGAGAAAGCACTGGAGCTGGTGTGGGGCTAAAGCCCTCTCTCCTCACCATTGTCTCTTGTGTGTGTGCGGGGGGGGGGGTGCGTGTGTGTGCACGTGCGTGTGTGTAGTGTGTGTGCACGCATGTGTGCATGTGTGGTGTGTGTGTGTGCACTGCACAGCAACAGCTGCTGTGTATCAGGCTGGGGACTCAAAAGAAACAAATGGACGTTGGCACAGCTTCCGAGTGCTGGGACTCAGCATTCCAGCGAGGGGAAGCCTCTAATACACCCAGATGCACTGTCCTCAAGATGCTTGGAAAAGGAGATGAACTTCCCCAACTACGGCTGCAACCCACCCTGACCCTGCTCAGCAACTGCCTGGGTTTCACAGAAGGCTGGGAGTAACAGGAGAGGTCAGTAAACTTGAAGACAAGTCAACAGAAACCACCCAAACTGAAGCACAGAGAGCAAATTTTTAAAAAGACAGCAGCATTAAGAGACCCGTGGGACAACACAGACAGGCCTAAGATGTGTGCAACTCACGTTCCAGAGGAGGGGCAGACAGTAGGGCACAGTAAACGTTTAAAGCAAAGATGGCTTAGAAACTTCCACAGCTGATAAAAGGCCTAAGTGAATAAACTCAAGCAGCTCAAATAATCAAACCAAGATACATACAAAGAAAACCACACCCAGGCACATGGTAAACTAGCAAAAACCAATGGCAAAGTGACAAGAAACATGGATTGTTTAAAAAGTTTATCATCAGAAAAGATTAAAATAGAAAGGTAGAGCCTAAAGAGAATAATTTTCTCAGGAGAAATACAATTCTGTGTTTACAAGCAGATGGGGAGCAGACAGGAGAGGAAGAAATATGGAACAGCGCAGAACAGTGCCACAGCTGGGGGCATGGGGTCTGAGCCTCCGCTCCGACGACACCAGCTACAGTTCCAAGCCCTGGCAGAGAGCTCCACGTCCATCTGTCTGCGTTACTGGCCCAAAGTGGGGATGGGCGGAGCGGGATGCAGCTCAGGGCTGCTGCAGCACTTAATTCATGTGATTGTACCGTGTGTAGTGCATAGAAAATAGAGTTCACAGCACTGCTTTTAAGTAGCGATTATAAAGCTGTACGAGGGGAGGAGCAAATGATTAACAGAGAAAGGCCTTTGAGGGGGCAGCAAAGGATAGCCAGAGACCCCAGTCTTCAAAGGTACTAAGGCAGACCACTGGCAGGGGAAGTAATTCAGAGCAGCTTTCTCATGAGCACACCTGGAAATTTTAAACAGAATACAAAGCACGTGCTTGAAGGCATCAGAGAACTAACAAGAGAGTGATGGGCTAGAGCCCAGAGGGGACGGCAGTCCAGGAAAATCAGCTGGTGTTGAAGACTCTGGCTTCCCCTCACTACTGGCTGACTTCTAAGACCATAGCTGAGAGACTGAATGCTATTCTGGGCGGAGATAAGGCCTTAGAGTCCAGAGTTCGGCAAGGGAGGAGTCTGGTGGGTGTCTTTTTCTTTGGATCGGGGCTTTAAAGCACTGCATCCCAGGAGCAGGTGGTAGAGGACCCTTCCGAGTACTCCAGGTCGGCTGAGCTGGCTCAGTCTCTCTGTGTCAGGAAATTTTCCTCTGAGTAGCCCCGTGCGGGCTACTGGCAAAGAAAGATAGGATAATCCTAGGCCTCACAGTTTTTCTACAAATGATTTTATGAATTCATAGTCAAAAATAGCCCAGCACATAAGGCAACATGAATGGAAATAAGGACAAATAACAGTGAAGAGAAACAGACCTACAAGATTCCAGCTATTGTGTTTTTCTGCTTAAATTCTTTTATTGGTACATTTTAGGTGTACAATACAGTTACATTTCTCATTGGGTGCTTGTACCTGTACATAATGCATCTCAGTTCTTATTTTTTTCCCCTTTCCCTGCCTCCCTTCACCCCCTCCACCCTCCCCTATTTACATAGATTTCCTTTCCATTTTTTTTCTTTTCTCATAATTTTAACTTTCCCTTCTTTCCTTTCCCCTTCCCCTCCCACTTCCCCTACCCCTTTGGACCTTTTCTTTCTACTTCAAATTATCAATTATTTGTTTTAATCATTTTAATCCTTATTTACACTTTCAATTTCTCATACTAGAGAAACTATTCAGCATTTACACATGTGTGTCCTATTTATTTCACTTAAGAGGATGGCCTCAGTATGCATCCATTTAGCTATAAATGTCTCTAGTTTCTGGTTCTTTATGGCTGAGTAGTATTCCATTTTATAAAAAAAAATAAAACCCACATCTTCTTTATCCAGTTTCCAGTCGATGGGTATTTGGGCTGTTTCCAATCCTTAGCTATTACAAATTGTGCCGCTATGAACATGGGTGCACATATATCACTGTGGTATGATTCTTTTAATTCTTTGGGGAAGATACCCAGCAGGGGAATAGCTGGGTCAAATGGGACCTCTATCCCTAGTTCTTTGAGGTATCTCCACACTGACTTCCACAGTGGTTGCACCAGTCTGCACTCCCACCAACAATGGAGAAGGGCTCTTTCTCCCCACACCCCCACCAGCATTTGTTATTGGTTGATTTCTTGATAGCAGCCATTCTTTCTGGTGTGAGATGGAATCTCAGTGTTGTTTTCATCTGCATCTCTCAAATGACCGGTGATGTTGAACATTTTTTCATATGTTTATTTACTGCTTTTACTTCTTTTTCTGAGAAATGTGTGTTCATTTCAGATGCCCATTTTTGAATTGGGTCTTTAAATTTGGGGAGTCTGATTTTTTAAAGTTCTTTATATATTCCAGATAGTAGTACTTTGTCTGACTTTCTATTGTTTTTACCAGGCAGACTTTGTAGTAAAGATATAAACAAGATTGAGAATCTCAGCAGAGAAATTGACCACAAAATAATGAAATAACTGCCAACTCTAACTAATGAAAGCATTCAATAAGAGCCAAGGTAAGGGTATGTTCAGATAGTTTAATCACTATCTGACTGTCACTGCACGAAATATCAAGGCAAAATTCTTCCTCGGGTAAAAGAAAAATTATCCCAGATAGAGTTCACAGCTGTAGGAAGAAAAGAGGACCACTGAAAGAAGTAGACATGTAGGCAAAGGCAAATAACTTTTGACTACTTAAACCCAAATGAATCTTTTGTGGGATATGAAATATAGAAAGAATTGAAATATTCAACAATGGTGGCTCTGAGTTGGAAACAGGTGACACTGAGAAAGTATTACAAGAACACTGCATTATGTAAAAAATCAAACAAACCAACAAAAGCTGAAAATCCCTGCCTTGGTCCATTTTCTGCTGCTATTGCGAAACCCAACTCACTGGGCCCTGAATCTGGAGGCAGAAAGTGGGAAAGCACGGCGCCAGTACCTGCGGGCGTCCAGCGAGGGCTGCTCGCGCGCCGGGGGCCGAGGGGTGAGAAGGCTCTTCGGGGCTGTGCCTCTTCTGACGGCCCCTGGGCCCCACGCGCCCACTGTCACCAGAGCCGCACCTCCAGCGGCACCGGCGTGGGAAGTGGGGGTTATTTTCCAGCACGTTCATCTTGGAGGACGCACACAGACCTCCGCGATGTCAGCTACAGAGCGGCCTTTGAGAAGTCGAGGGTTGTGTCAAAAACTGAAGATAACCACTGGAAAGACGCTAGAAAGAATATAATATAAAGTCAGCTTTCAAGCTAGCAGCAGGCTATCTTCCTTTTTTCTAGGACTCTTCCCTAGGAAGTTTATTTGAAACTCAAAGAGAAACATACAAGTTCGCTCACTGTAATAATATTTATGATTTTTTAAAATGGGGATCAACTATTCAGCAAAGGAGAATGTCTACTGGTGTGACACTGTATTACACAGTCATTTTAAATGATGCCTTCAAATAATATTCAATGACAATGAGGAAATAACAATAAGTGAAAATAACAGAAATAAACATGGTCAGAGAATACAATGACGTGATTCTTAAAGTATATGCACAGAAAAGACACTAGAAAAATAAAATATAGCTATAGGTAGTGATAAAATTCCAAGTGATCTTATTTTCTTCTGTTTAACTGATTTTCTATCTTAAGTATATAGTACTTTATAATCAGAAAAAAGTCTTTTAAAGAAGGCAATAAACTAATATTTTTCCTTTAAAAATAAAAAGAGTTAATCTCTGCATATTATATAAAAGAAAACTCAGTTGGAAGGCAAGAAATTATAGATTTTTCTCTTATTGTCTTTATCTCTTTGAATAAATTATTTAATATTACCTGTATCTTTTTACCTAAGCACCTCCCCTTACAGGTAAGTACTTCTCTCTGTTTAGATAGTCGGTTGATTGTCTAGTAGCCAGTGCATTCATTGACTTTTATTTCTACTTACTTCTTATACTTTAAGGGAACATCAAAAATAAAATATTGGGGCGGGGATTTAACTCAATGGCAATGTGCCTGCCTTGCAAGCTCAAGGTCCTGAGTTCGATCCCTGGTAGCAAAAAAATAAAAAAATAAAATATTCATTGGGATATTGAGATTCTGTGAGCTTTTCTTTCGAACCCTTGTTACAGCTGCTTTAACATGGTTGGTGTGGTACTTTTTCCTTTTCGGTCCTGGCTTGGCCTGGCTGGCTCCACAATAACCTCCAGGAGGTTAAATGCAGCCTTCCGTCCCATCTGTCAATCACCATGGCAGAGTTCGGTCTTGGAACCTGGCAGTGTCATTCACTGTACACAGCCATCCGTGGCTTGGACATGAAGTCATCCTGGAAGAAGAGACAGTGCATGCGGAACCCTGGACTGGTGCCTGGGCTGTAGGAGGGAGAAACAGCATTGGTTTCTTCTGGTGCTAAAGTCTTCCCCATCTCCAATCTGTTTCAAGTTTATGTCCAGGGAGGGCTACTGAAGATTATGAGCAAGATAGTGTGGCTGGCGTGGCTCTGGGAACTTCAGTCTCCTAGATCACTGTCCCCTCCCTCAGTTCCCCTAATCGATAATGTTTTTCAAAGTCTATCCTCTGAAGTTAGATGTGTATAGATATAATGCTAATTAAGAGCAATGTACATCACAATGGGCATTCTGTCCTCATGGTTCCTGAAGCAACTTTTTGTAGCGACGTGATGTCTACAGCAGTTCACATGGCTTTTCCCAGGGAGGAGACACCACTCCGAGCAGGGAGGTGGAGGTCGGCTGTGTGCTGCCCAGATCTAGCAATACTGCAGGGACCCGGCCTCATGGGCACCGTTGGGCTTGCCCGAAGGCCTGCCCAGGAGGAGTGCCAAAATGCCTCGGATGCCACAGGCCCATTTCTCCACCTTCCAACAAAGGATTCATGGGTAACCACGAAAACCTCTGCAAAAAGACTGCAAATATTTCATTAAAAGGAAAGGGGAGTGAAGGTCTCACTTGAGCTCCTCTGAGATTTATGTTTGTTGAACTTATATGGCAAATCCGTGAGACAGGCACTATTTGACCTGGGAATGGAATGGTTTCCTGGGAGACATGGGTATATGGGGAGAAGGAGTAGGCCCCGCAGGCAGGGATGATAGGAAAGGGCATGGACTCCTCCTTGGGTCGAGGAGAGAGAGAAGGTTGTAGAAGCAGAACTGTGCTCCATTAAAATACCTACAGAACATGGTGCAAGCATCACGGATGGCACACACACACACACACACACACACACACAGCAGAGGAACACAAGGAGCTGGCTCTCCCCCATTTTGCCATAGGCCACCTCACAATTTTGTCACCAAGATCAGTGTAGCAAGTTGGGGCGCTGCCCATAGAGAGATGTGATGGCTTCAGTGGGAGGTGATCAGAGCCAGCCCAAGCATGCAGGGCATGTGCCCAGGGAGCCACCACAACCCACAGGGGGACACTTCCCCCACAGAGCCAGCTTACTGGAGGGCATGAGAGGCATCCCCCAGGGAGAAGCTGAGATGCATGATGAGGACTCTGCACAGAATGGAGGCCACTGAGGGGAAGACAGGCCAAGGAGCATCAGTGAGAGACAATAAAACTCGAGTCATGACTCATACTGTGACCCCATTAGACACAGGGGCTGGCAAAGCTAAAGGAAATGCAGGCTACAGGAGTACATCTCAGGCTGTAATTATCAGCCTATTTATTTCCACTGCTGACAGGGACAGGAGCACAGTAATTGGGGCAGACTTGTGCAAAGACAGACTATGTTGCACTGTATTCCGCATTTTATAGGGCATGCTTACAACCAGATGAACTCTGGAACAGACTACGGCTCGTTACTTTTGACAGGTTGGCCAGAAAGCCTGGATCGCCAAGTGATTCATCACCGTTTATACCCAGATCATAAATCTTTATTTTCCAAAGCCATACTTTGGATTTGGGGCAGATTGCAGTGTTTATTCTTTTTGGATGGCACTCAGAAGAATGGCCTCTTGATGTCTTTCCTTACGGATTTTATCATTTCTTCAAGAATGATCTTACTCGTTTGTGACTTGTTTCCCACCCACCTGAAGAATCCAGTTGCTGTAGCTGTGGAAAGGATTTTCACAAATCAGTTTTCAGATACCTCTGGGACGGTTCTATTTTCTTAAACTCCTGCTAAACTGCCTGTAGTTCATGGGTTCATCTATTCTATGAACTGTGCCTAAAACTAAAATAAACTTTCTGAAATTGCTACGGCAGTGAAAGACTATTTCTTAAATTCTTACTTTTTTAAGAAATTATTTTAAGACCATAAACAAAAAAGCACAAATGAAAAGAACTTTATCACTTAACAGGTACCACACTTTTCCCAGAAATATAATGAGGCTCATTTAATCCTCCAGAAAACCCTGCCAGGTGATCATGGCTGCAGCAGCAAGACTGTTTCCTCCACAGCTGTACACCTCAGAGTCCTGAGCATTGGCAGACAGAAACCCATTGGCTGCAGGCTGTTCCAGGGAGAGCTTGCTGACAGGGTGTCAGTCAGACAGCCCAGCAACCACAACAAGGGCATTCTGAGTGGAACACCATGGGAATTCTCAGCAGGATGCCATGGGAAGTCTTTGCAGGACCACATGGGCATTCTGACCAGGACCCCATGGGCATCCTCACCAGGACCCCATGGGCATTCTGACTAGGACCACATGGGCATTCCAACCAGGACCACATGAACATTCTTTCCTCCCCTCCTTTAAGTTCATTGGCCCATTTTAGGTATAAAACACAGTTACATTCATCATTTGGATCTTGTACCATTACATGAGTATCTTGGTCCTTATTTTTTCCCCATTCCCCTGCCCT